GGTGCCAAATGTACTAGCTTCTGCAGAAGTTGTTCCCAGGGTAGTACTTTCTACAGAAGAGGTGTCAAGGGTAGTAGTTTCTGCAGAACGGGGTAGTGGGGTAGTAGTTTCTGTAGAAGTGGGTCCTGCAGAAGGGGTTTCCAGGGTAGTAGTTTCCACATACATCGGTACTAGTTTACTAGTTTCTGCCAAAGTGGTTTCCAGTGTAGTAGTTTCCACAGAAGCGGTGCCAAGTGTACTAGTTTCCGCAGAAGTGGTTCCAAGGGTACTAGTTTCTGCAGAAGTGGTGCCAAGGGTACTAGTTTCTGCAGAAGTGGTGCCAAGGGTACTAGTTTCTGCAGAAGTGGTGCCAAGGGTACTAGTTTCTGCAGAAGTGGTGCCAAGGGTACTAGTTTCTGCAGAAGTGGTGCCAAGGGTACTAGTTTCTGCAGAAGTGGTGCCAAGGGTACTAGTTTCTGCAGAAGTGGGTCCTGTAGCAGTGGGTCCCAGAGTGGTAGATTCTACAGAAGTGGTGCCAAATGTACTAGCTTCTGCAGAAGTTGTTCCCAGGGTAGTACTTTCTACAGAAGAGGTGTCAAGGGTAGTAGTTTCTGCAGAAGCTGTGCCCGGGGTAGTAGTTTCTGTAGAAGTGGGTCCTGCAGAAGTGGTTTCCAGGGTAGTAGTTTCCACATACATCGTGCCAAGGGTACTAGTTTCTGCCAAAGTGGTTTCCAGTGTAGTAGTTTCCACAGAAGCGGTGCCAAGTGTACTAGTTTCCGCAGAAGTGGTTCCAAGGGTACTAGTTTCTGCAGAAGTGGTGCCAAGGGTACTAGTTTCTGCAGAAGTGGTGCCAAGGGTACTAGTTTCTACAGAGAAAGTGCCAAGGGTAGTAGTTTCTGCAGAAGTGGTTCCAAGGGTACTAGTTTTTACAGAAGCGGTGCCAAGGGCAGTAGTTTCTACAGAGGTAATGCCCAGGATACTAGTTTCTACAGAGGTAATGCCCAGGGTACTAGTTTCTACAGAGAAAGTGCCAAGGGTAGTAGTTTCTGCGGAAGTTGTGCCCACGGTAGTACTTTCTACAGAAGAGGTGTCAAGGGTAGTAGTTTCTACAGATGTCGTGCCAAGGGTACTAGTTTCTACAGAGAAAGTGCCAAGGGTAGTAGTTTCAGCAGAAGTGGTTCCAAGGGTACTAGTTTCTGCAGAAGTGGTGCCCAGGGTACTAGTTACTACAGAAGTGGTGCCAAGGGTAGTAGTTTCTACAGAAGTGGTGCCAAGGGTAGTAGTTTCTACAGAGGTGGTGCCAAGGGTAGTAGTTTCTACAGAAGTGGTGCCAAGGGTAGTAGTTTCTACAGAAGTGGTGCCAAGGGTAGTAGTTTCTACAGAAGTGGTGCCAAGGGTAGTACTTTCTACAGAAGTGGTGCCATGGGTAGTACTTTCTACAGAAGAGGTTCCCATTGTACTAGTTTCTGCGGAAGTTGTGCCCAGGGTAGTAGTTTCTGCAGAAGTGGTTCCAAGGGTACTAGTTTCTGCAGAAGTTGTGCCCAGGGTAGTAGTTACTACAGAAGTGGTGCCAAGGGTATTAGTTTCTGCAGAAGTGGTGCCAAGGGTTGTACTTTCTACAGAAGAGGTTCCCATTGTACTAGTTTCTGTGGAAGTTGTGCCCAGGGTAGTACTTTCTACAGAAGAGGTGTCAAGGGTAGTAGTTTCTACAGATGTCATGCCCAGGGTACTAGTTTCTACAGAGAAAGTGCCAAGGGTAGTAGTTTCTGCAGAAGTTGTGCCCAGGGTACTAGTTTTTACAGAAGAGGTGCCAAGGGCAGTAGTTTCTACAGATGTAATGCCCAGTGTACTAGTTTCTACAGAGAAAGTGCCAAGGGTAGTAGTTTCTGCAGAAGTTGTGCCCAGGGTACTAGTTTTTACAGAAGAGGTGCCAAGGGCAGTAGTTTCTACAGATGTAATGCCCAGTGTACTAGTTTCTACAGAGAAAGTGCCAAGGGTAGTAGTTTCTGCAGAAGTTGTGCCCAGGGTACTAGTTTTTACAGAAGAGGTGCCAAGGGCAGTAGTTTCTACAGATGTAATGCCCAGTGTACTAGTTTCTACAGAGAAAGTGCCAAGGGTAGTAGTTTCTGCAGAAGTTGTGCCCAGGGTACTAGTTTTTACAGAAGAGGTGCCAAGGGCAGTAGTTTCTACAGATGTAATGCCCAGTGTACTAGTTTCTACAGAGAAAGTGCCAAGGGTAGTAGTTTCTGCAGAAGTTGTGCCCAGGGTACTAGTTTTTACAGAAGAGGTGCCAAGGGCAGTAGTTTCTACAGATGTAATGCCCAGTGTACTAGTTTCTACAGAGAAAGTGCCAAGGGTAGTAGTTTCTGCAGAAGTTGTGCCCAGGGTACTAGTTTTTACAGAAGAGGTGCCAAGGGCAGTAGTTTCTACAGATGTAATGCCCAGTGTACTAGTTTCTACAGAGAAAGTGCCAAGGGTAGTAGTTTCTGCAGCAGTTGTGCCCAGGGTACTAGTTTTTACAGAAGCGGTGCCAAGGGCACTAGTTTCTACAGAGGTAATGCCCAGGGTACTAGTTTCTACAGAGGTAATGCCCAGGGTACTAGTTTCTACAGAGAAAGTGCCAAGGGTACTAGTTTCTGCAGAGAAGGTGCCAAGGGTACTAAAGGGTACTAGTTTCTGCAGAAGTGGTGCCAAGGGTACTAGTTTCTGCAGAAGTGGTGCCAAGGGTAGTAGTTTCTGCAGAAGTGGTGCCAAGGGTAGTACTTTCTGCAGAAGTGGTGCCAAGGGTAGTACTTTCTACAGAAGTGGTGCCAAGGGTAGTACTTTCTACAGAAGAGGTTCCCGTTGTACTAGTTTCTGCGGAAGTTGTGCCCAGGGTAGTAGTTTCTACAGAGGTAATGCCCGGGGTACTAGTTTCTACAGAGGTAATGCCCAGGGTACTAGTTTTTACAGAGAAAGTGCCAAGAGTAGTAGTTTCTACAGAGAAAGTGCCAAGGGTACTTGTTTTGGCAGAGGTTATGTCCAGGGAACTAGTTTCTGCAGAAGTGGTTCCCAGGGTAGCAGTTTTTACAGAAGTGGTGCCAAGGATAGTGGTTTCTTCAGAAGTGATGCCCAAAGTGGTAGATTCAACAGAAGATGATGTGCCAAGGGTACTAGATTCTGCAGAAGTGGTGCCAAGGGTAGTAGTTTCCACAGATGTCATGCCAAGGGTACTAGTTGCTACAGAAGTTGTGCCCAGGGTACTAGTTTTGGCAGAGGTTATGTCCAGGGTAGTAGTTTCTACAGAAGTGGTGCCAAGGGTAGTACTTTCTACAGAAGAGGTTTCCATTGTACTAGTTTCTGCAGAAGTTGTGCCCAGGGTAGTAGTTTCTACAGAGAAAGTGCCAAGGGTAGTAGTTTCTGCAGAAGTTGTGCCCAGGGTACTAGTTTTTACAGAAGATGTGCCAAGGGCAGTAGTTTCTACAGATGTCGTGCCAAGGGTACTAGTTTCAACAGAAGTGGTGCCCAGGGTACTAGTTTTGGCAGAGGTTATTTCCAGGGTAGTAGTTTCTACAGAAGTGGTGCCAAGGGTAGTACTTTCTACAGAAGAGGTTCCCATTGTACTAGTTTCTGCAGAAGTTGTGCCAAGGGTAGTACTTTCTACAGAAGAGGTTCCCATTGTACTAGTTTCTGCAGACGTTGTGCCCAGGGTAGTAGTTTCTACAGAGAAAGTGCCAAGGGTAGTAGTTTCTGCAGAAGTTGTGCCCAGGGTACTAGTTTTTACAGAAGATGTGCCAAGGGCAGTAGTTTCTACAGAGGTAATGCCCAGGGTACTGGTTTCTACAGAGAAAGTGCCAAGGGTAGTCATTTCTGCAGAAGTGGTTCCTAGTGTAGTACTTTTGACAGAAGAGGTGTCAAGGGAAGTAGTTTCTGAGGAAGTGGGTCTTGCAGATGTGGTTTCCAGGGTAGCAGTTTTTACAGAAGTGGTGCCAAGGATAGTAGTTTCTTCAGAAGTGATGCCCAAAGTGGTAGATTTAACAGAAGAGGTGCCAAGGGTACTAGATTCTGCAGAAGTGGTTCCCAGTGTAGTAATTTCTACAGAAGTGGTGCCAAGGGTAGTAGCTTTTGCAGAAGTTGTTCCCAGGGTAGTAATTTCTACAGAAGTGGTGCCAAGGGTAGTAGTTTCTGCAGAAGTTGTGCCCAGGGTAGTAGTTTCTGCAGAAGTTGTGCCCAGGTTTGTTATTTCCAGAGATGTGGTGCCCAGGGTAGTCGTTTCTGCAGAAGTGGTTCCTGCAGAAGTGGGTACCAGGGTAGTAGCTTCTATAGATGTGGTGCCAAGAGTAATAATTTGGGAAGTGGTAGTTTGAGCCATTGTAGTTTCAAAAGCAGATGTTAAGCCATGCGTCGTTATAGCTGAGGTTGTTTTAGCAGTTGTTATTTCAAATGTGGTTGTTTCCAATTCTAGACCTGTTGAACTAACAGAAGTTGTCATTTCAACAGAAATGGAGCCCAGGGTAGTAGGTTCTGGAAAAGTTGTGCCCATGGAAGAACTTTCCACTGAAGTGGTGCCAAGAGTAGCAGTTTCTGCAGAAGTGGTATCCAAAGTAATAATTTCTTCAGAAGTGGTTCCCAGGGTAGTAATTTCAACAGAAGTGGTGCCAAGACTAGTAGTTTGTGCTGAAGCGTTAGTTGTTCCAGCAGTTGTCATTCCTGGTCTGGATGTTTCCAAAACTATTCCTGTTGAACTAACGGAGGGTGTTGTTTCCGCAGAACTCAAAGTCAATGGTATATCAAAGTAAATTATTGTGCTATTCAATGTAGTATGTTCTGTAGGTGTGGGAGTGCTTGATGAAAGTGTTCTTTGGGTTGTTTCAGGAGTTTCTTCAAATTCCTCACAAGGAAGAGTGGGTATGGCATCAAAGTCTGAAAGATCAAAATCTGTCCCAAACTCTACATGAGCAGGAGTTGTAGTTTTGGTGATTCTGCCTGGTTGTGTAGACACACTGGAGGCTTCTACTTTTATGGTTGTACCAAGTGTTATATCAGCTGGCCTGAAGGGAACTGTGTTTGTCCTTGTTGTGGGGTCTGGATATGAAGGTGTGCTGAATGGAAATATCCTTGGGGTCGTTTTATGGGTTTCTTCAAATTCCCCACAAGGAAGAGTGGGCAAGACATCAAAGTCTGAAAGGTCAAAGTCTGTCCCAAACGCTACATCAGCAGGAGTTGTAGTTTTGGTGATTCTGCCTGGTTGTGTAGACACACTGGAGGCTTCTACTTTTATGGTTGTATCAAGTGTTATATCAGCTGGCCTGAAGGGAACTGTGTTTGTCCTTGTTGTGGGGTCTGGATATGAAGGTGTGCTGAATGGAAATATCCTTGGGGTCGTTTTATGGGTGTCTTCAAATTCCCCAGAAGGAAGAGTGGGCAAGGCATCAAAGTCTGAAAGGTCAAAGTCTGTCCCAAACGCTACATCAGCAGGAGTTGTAGTTTTGGTGATTCTGCCTGGTTGTGTAGACACACTGGAGGCTTCTACTTTTATGGTTGTATCAAGTGTTATATCAGCTGGCCTGAAGGGAACTGTGTTTGTCCTTGTTGTGGGGTCTGGATATGAAGGAGAATTAGATGGAAGTATCCTTGGGGTCGTTTTATGGGTTTCTTCAAATTCCCCACAAGGAAGAGTGGGTATGACATCAAAGTCTGAAAGGTCAAAATCTGTCCCAAACTCTATATCAGCAGCAGCAGAAGTTCTAGTTTTGGTGATTCTTCCTGGTTGTGCAGATACACTGGAGGCTTCTGCTTTTTCGGTTGTACCAAGTGTTATATCAGCTGGCCTGAATGTAACCGTGTTTGTCCATGTAGCGGGGTCTGGATGTGTAGGTGTGCTGGATGGAAGCATCCTTTGGGTCATCATAGGGTTTTCTTCAAACTCCCCACATGGAACAGTGGGTTTGACATCAAAATCAGAAAGACCAAAATCTATCCAAAACTCTCCATCAGCATGAACAACAGTAGGTGCAGTTTTGGTGATTCTGCTTGGCTGCGTAGCAGCACTTAAGGTTTCTACTTTCTGGGTTCGATCAAGAGTTATCTCAGCTGTCCTAAAAGGTTGCATATTTGTCCATGTAGTGGGATCTGGATATTTAGGTGTGCTGGATGGAAGTATCCTTTGGGTCATTCTAGGGGTTTCTTCAAACTCCCCACAAGGAACAGTGGGTTTGACGTCAAAATCTGAAAGCCCAAAATCCAACCCAAGCTCTACATTAACATCAATAGTAGCAGTTGCAGCTTTGGTGATCCTGATTGGCTGCCTGTCTGTGCTTGGTGACGCTTCTAGACCATCATCTACTGTGGAATCAGGTGGAACGTCAAATAGTCCAGTAGTGACAATACTAGGAACACCGGACTCTGGAGGAGAGATTCCAGTGCGGATGACAGTGTGTAAGGGGGCAGTGATTGTTGCCCACTCTGGTTTAAAGGGAACTGTCGGTATTGGATCATATTCCCAAATAAAATCAAATGGGTCTTGTCTTCGTTTTCTAATGGCATTTTTAAATGTCTGTTGAACACAGGACCCTGTGATTGTCCTCGTTTTACCAGTCACATCAAGATAATCCACCTGGAGCATTCCATCCTTTAGAGAGGTGTCAAAATCATTAGATTACACAAAGTAGACAACAAAAGCTTGAAGAATTGCAAAACTTGATTTTACAGGGGCATACCTTGATTGCTGAGTGTTTCAATTTGACAAACACAGTATGGTGACTTTTCCAAAGGACTGGACGAGGCAACTGCATGGACATATCTTGAGAAAACAGAAGTAGATAGGAAGCACCTTTTTACTGGTTGTAAATATTTTTCAAAACAATTACCAAGCCTACATTTGTTATTTGCATTATGCAAGTTACTTCCATTCATTAACAAATGTTATGCATACATATTGACTAAATTCAATATTCTAAATTAATGAATATAGAATCAAACTGCGATAGTCAAATTATTGGAATAACACAATAAGTACTGACCCAAAACTTTAACATTTATAATCTTCTTGGCTGGTAATTTTACAATCACATATGGCTTTCCACAGATAACTTCGGGTGATTCTCTTGTAGAAGGTGCATCATGTGGCAAGGCAGCAGTGTGACAGGTCGCAGTGCCGGATAAATTCCTCATTAGAAGGCGATCAAAGTAAAGTACCCTTACAGAGTAGTACATCCTTCTGCCTAGAGTCTGAGAGATTAAACAGACAGTTTCACTTTTGTTCTGGTGGCAGGGAATACACCAAATTGTCAAAAGCAGGTGCATTGAGAAACTGAATATTCACTGTGTGCTTTTTGTGTGGACAAATACACGTAGGCCTACATGCACCCAGAGACCACAGTAGGCATGGGCCGGTATGAGATTTTGACCGTATAATAACAACCTTAAGCAAAAATATTGCTTAAGCAACGGTATTGTTGTTACAGCTCTAAAATGTGTTTTTAAATGTCTGGTTTAAAAAAATAAATAAAATAAAAAGCTTTCCACTGAACAATGCATTTTATTTTTGAGCAACAGAATATTTGGAACAGCAGTATTTGTTTATTTTTTTTCTTTGATTTGTTTTTGAAATGTTTGCTGAATTGTGGGCTGTCTTGCAGCTTTTGATGTGGGGGGAGAGAAAAAATAAATAAATAAATAAAAGGCATTTCTGGAACCCCAGATACAGCGTTTCCTTGGCTACCGCTGTAAACAAAGCACCACTGTCATAAAACACTGCTTTAATGTGAATTATACAGAGACCAGATGAAAAGAAAACACCATCTAAACTTTTCTGAAGACCATCAGTTCCCCTCAGAAACATTCATATAAATCCCCAAATCATTATTTAGGATTTTCTTCCAATAGTTTGTGCATCATGAACAGTGATCTTGCTGCTACAGTATTTTTCTCTTTGCGTCGGTCTTCAGCATCTCTGGCCCGTGTTAGCGGGCGTTTACAGACTTCATATTTTCACAAATGACATTTTGGAAAATGATTGCATTGCAATGCATTTTGTGCAAGTCCAGAACAGAGACAAGCTGCAATAAGACTTTGAGGATACATGAAAAACAGAGCATACCGCAGGAACGGTATAACGGAAAATATTAGTGGTTTTGAAACCGTGACATTTAAAAAAAAAAAAAAAAATTAATAAAAAAGAAACAAATTCGCCGTATACCTTGAAACCAACAAACTGGTAATCGGCCCATGCCTAGACCACAGTGTCATTAACAGCATCATTTAAATGTGTGAAGAGTATTACCTGTGCACAACATTTAATAAGTCTTTAACTGTGCATTTGAAATGACAATACATGCAAACCCCATAATGTTGACTAACATCTTTGCATAGGAAATTATGCCCATCAATTGCATGTGAAAGTGTTTAACTCCTGATGGCAACAGGTCGAATTCATAATTCATTTTACATACGTTTGCGATTGGGTCTGATTCTGAACCAATTTACTAGTTCAAGAGCTGCAACAACTAAATCAATACAATCAACTATTAATAAAAAAAACATTAAAAAAAAAATAAAAAACATCTGACTAGTTAGCACACTATACACAGAAAACTTCTGGCATATTCACGTCCAGACACAAAGCGTACAACTTTCACTACACATTCTCTTCAGATTTGTATTAATTTCAACACAATAACTGATATTCACATATCTAACGAAGCAGGTAGAAGAGTGTAAAAGTTAACCCCCTAGTTGCACCCCATGGCTGCGTTCCACTTCACTTTTAGACAGGCACTAGCAAACTTCCCTAGGCACTTCTCCTCGGGGGAATCCCCACTGCCATTTTGAAGTGTGTACCACTTTGTGAAGTGGATGAGAGAAGTTTATATGTACAGACATATCTGCTTCATATGTACACTTCAGGCCGCTCTATATACCACAATGCAACACGATTGCGACATCACCGCAGATTGCATTACATTTTTTCCCACCACCAAACAACTATGATTTAGATGTTTTGTAAACTTAAAACAGCTCAAACATACCTATATACACTGAATTCTGCATGAAACTAATTCATTAGGAAAATTAAGTAACAAGTTAACTACATAGTGCAGTGGTTCCATTTTCAAGACCACCCCCCACACCCCCTTTTAAAGTCTCTTATGCTCACCAAGGCTACATTTATTTAAAATAGAATAAACACTAATATTGTGAAATAGTCAACTTAAAATATTTATTTGAATGTTTTAACATATAGGCTACTGTATTCCTGTGATCAAAGCTGAATTTTCAGCATTACGCCAGTCTTCAGTGTCACATGAGTCTTCAGAAATCATTATATGCTGATTTGCTGTCAGTAACCATTTCTGATTATTTTAATGCTGAAAAGAGTTGTGCTGCTTCATATTTGAGGAAACTATTTTTTCACAATGTATGAACATTTGAAATTGTCCTTTGTGTCAAAGTGCTGGAGTTCGTCAGAAACCGAACAGGGCATCAGTTTACAGTCATGGATTTGTCATGTCGCGTCGCACCACATCCACAGCAGAGAACATCACTGGGTTCTATTTGCTTTTGTCACGTCAAGCTGGTTTGGTATTTGTGAATCTTAAGTATATACATAATCTGCTTTACGTTTACCTGGATCTGGAAGTCCTTTCATAAACTTGTAACTTACATGCTTCGAGCAGAGCCATGCATCGTTCATTTATATTTCAACATATTTCCTCATCTAGTGGTCTTGTTGATACAACCACAACTGATAACGGACTGCTCAAGCGGGTACTGAGAGTCATGTTGAGGTAATTCAAATGTCAAATTAATATTTTGCGTTCAATTATTTACTTATCAGGCAAGTGGCCGTATGATAAGTAGGAAAATTACACTGTAGTCTATCACCCTGCAGAGGATTCTTTTGCCAAATAATCTACTGACTGTACACTATCCCTCAGCCTTGCCATGCCCCCCCTTGTCATAGCTCAGCACCCTCCAGTTTGGGATCCACTGACATAGTGGATTAAGGAGTTTCAGATTAGAAAACCCCACACATCATTATACCATGCTAAAAATGTAAATTTTTTAAGAAAAGCAAAATCATGTCTTTGTGCATGTATTTTTAAATGCAAACGGGCTGCTGCTCCCCACCCATTTTCCAGAAGTGGGTTGTGCCTTTACAGCTTGCGCATTGGATACTCCGCTAAAACAAAACATCTGTTTGGTTTTGATTATATGGTTAGGGTTGGGTTTAGTTTAAATGATCAATTCCAATTGATAACCGCTGCTCAAATCAGATTCTTATCGATTCCCAGTTTTGATTCCAATGTGGTTTAAAAAAAAAAAAAAAAAAAAAAAAAAAAGTTTACTTTTTGCAAAACATTTAATTGCAGCTGAATACTATG